TGGACTCACTCAGGAATCGCTACGGCATCACCCCATCAACTTTTGCTTGCTAAGATTGCTGGAATTTGGAAAACGAGGCTTTTATATTGCTTAGTTGCAATGTGGCCACTCTAGAAACTCGATATCCCAGTAAGATTGTTGTGTAAGCGTGCTGATTTCTAAATATTTTATGTATTTAATGATTCTTTATTTATTTGAATATAAAATATTAAAACTTGGTAAAATTGTAGGCAATGGAGAAATCGAGCTTTGGTCGGATAATTCCTCTTCTGTTGTTGCTTTGTTTTTTATCTTTCCAAACCCTCTATAATGACTTCCAAGTATTCAAAATACTCATAAGTTATTCCAGTAGAAGAAAGTTTTGTAGACTTGCTCGTGAACCAGTCTAACCATGAAAGTGATATAGTTTGAGAGGCCAAATTTGAGAACTGAGATTCCTGCTTAACATTACCCATGTAGCCCCATTAAAGAAGCATGTTATGAATCCAGATAGACTTCTTTGATGTAAAGTTCCAGAGTATATCCAAGGACCTTCATGCCTTGAGTGGTAATATTCATTTTAATTTGATATAAAGTTCCAGAGTATATCCAAGGACCTTCATGCCTTGATTGGTAATATTCAGTTTAATTTGTTCCATTTTGCTTATTCTGTTGGGTTTTTTTTGGATCCCTGTAATAATTGATTCTGAAATTTTGTTATAGTGGATTGTGTTCTCATTGCAGACTCAAAATAAAATGAAATGCATGATGAAGAGGATGATAATAAGATTAAGAGGATCATCCAAGAATTTGAGAACTAAAAGTCAAAGAGGAGAAGATATTATAAGACCAAAGCTAAATAATATGATAGATAAATGTAATAAATTAAAATAATAGATCGAATTATGTATTTGTAGTGATACAATTATATATTATTTTTGTTTCATTTTGTTGTATCGCACTTGTCGCTTTTTGTTGCATTGTGTTGTTAATTGTTGCATCATGCTGCATGTTGTTTATTGTTGATTTTGATTTTTGTTGTTTATTTAGGTTTCTGTTTATCTTTGATGTATCTTTGGAATATATACATCTTTTGATTTTTCAACAACACAACAATTCAAGAAATAGTGAAGTTTATTATATTATACCTTTGTTGTAGTTTGTTTCTTTTTGTTGCATTTTATTTGTTGCATTGTGTTGCATCATGTGGTTCTTTGTTAATTTTGATTCTTATTGTTTATATAGGTTAATATTCATCTTTGTTCCATCTTTGAAATAAAAAAGACTTTGTATATATACAAATGCTTAAAATCATAAATTTGGATTAATTTATGAATATCAACTGAAACAAAAAAAATATGAAAAAACAATATGAAACAAAATTTTAAAAGTTATCAACAAAAAGAAACACAAAGAAACAATATGCAAAAAAGTAAAAGTAACAATTAAATGGTAATAATAATAACAACTAGAATGTAGAAATTCTTAATTACGTAGTATAAAATTTTTGAATTTATAACTTTTCATTTTCGTTATTCTATTTATCAATTTTTAATTTTAAATATTTGCACTTTTTTAGTTTATAGCTTTTTTATTATAAGAATCTTGTTTAAATTTTAATTTCATTTTTTGATTTTTTTTGAAAATATCATATTTTTTAATTTTCTTATAATGTTTTCAGAAAACACAATTTTTGAATTTGTCAACAAAAATAAACATGATAAAACAACACGCAACAACAAAATATGCCCTAGTGATTTTAATTTAGTTTGCGACAAAAATATCACCAATTCCCAAAATCCATATTATTTAATTTTTTTACTTTTTTCAAATTTTTCTATAATTTATTTATATTTTTCTAAACAAGTTCACAATTTAGAAAGCTGTAAGTATTTTTTAAAATATGCATTCTATAATTTTTATACTTTATTAAAAACATTTTAATATTTCAAAAGCTGTAGTTATATTTGATTTTTAATAGTTTCAAAAAACATTTTATATATTTTTCACAATAAATGTAAATATTTTAGATTTAAAAATAATAATATCCACCTTTTCTATTTTTTTTAAGAATTATCATAAATGTTTATTTATATACTACGTATTTTCCATGTTTATTAATTTGTTAAGAAAATTATTTTTATATTTTTCACTATATCATATTTTTATATAAGTTATGGAGTTTATGAAGTCGTTCAAAAAAATTAAATTACAACACGTGGTACTTTTTCGCAACATTGCCACATTTTTCTTATATTGTTTGGTTTATTCTTTAAATTCTTGATTCGGTTAATAATTTTTAAATTTATTTACAATTTTGATGTTCTGAATATTTTATTACGCGCTTTTGATACCCCCTTCATATTTAAAAGATCACTACATTAGGTCTTTTCACAATATTTAAGAGAGAAATAGTAGAGATACTGAATAGTGTAGAAAAAATTGGAGAGAAGATGAAAAAGTAGAAAAAAGAAGATAAACAATAGAAAAAGTATGGGTAATTGAATATTTTAAAGAGAAATCTTACCAAAAAATTAAATGAAAATGTAACGAACTTTGAAATACATCCCAAATAGAAAAGTGTAACAAAATTTTAAGTACTGAGAGAATATGTTTTATTAGTTTTAGTGATTTATTTATTTATTTTTAACTTTATTTTATATTTTAGACTTGTATTACTTTATTTATTATACTTGGGTAAATATAGTAAGTAAATTATTAGATGGTTGAATAAATTTTGAAGATTGTAGTACTCCGTATTTTATTGAATATGGTGTAGATAAGAAATCTTACGTAGCTTAGAAAAATATGCTCCGGTAGTGGTGTTCAACACGTATGAGCTATTTCTGAAAGAAAAAGGTGTCTTGGTCTACGTTTGAAAGAGAAAAAAACGGGTGACAAAAGTGAAATTTTATCCGATTGTGAACCTAGTTGTGAAAATTTCCCTAGAATTAATTTGTATAGTTTGTACTTTTATTTTAGCCCATTGTTGTAAATTACGTAGGGCTCATATTTTAAAGCCCACTCTTTGTATATTTATTCTACTGGGAACGTCTTTGTCAAATTATTTTATTTGTTTTACATCCTCGTAATTTCTGTTGATTTTCATTTTAGTCCATCACCAATTGTAATAATCTTAGTTTGACAACGAAAGTATGATATATACAACCCTGACTAATTCATCTATTCTCATTTTTTGCCATGTGGTTCACAAAATATATTTACATTTTTACTTGAGAGGTTGTTACTACATGTTTTCAAAATGTAAAAATTTAAGTTTACATCGTTTAACTCCCATATTAGTCTCAAAAAAAAAAATTAGCACAAAGTTACAAGTTTTTATGCACCCAACAATATATTCTTTTAAATAGATTGGTCTTGAAGTTTGAGATGAACTAAAAGTAAAATAATACGTAGTACATATTACCCGAATGAAAAAACAAAAGAGTAAATTATCTAAATAGGACAAAAAAAAGTGGTCCAAGAGAACAACTAGGACTACATCTGTTTAATTCCCCCGGATAGATCTATATATATGTGTTTGGACAAATATACCCTTGTAGCTTTTAAAATGTCTTAATTAATAATAAAATAATAAAAAATTAAAATAAAAAAAAATTAAAAAGAAAATGAAAAAAACACCGCCACCTTTGTCACCCCCAGCACCACCAGCTCCCATCATCAGTTGGAAATCTGCTAACATTTAAGTAAAGTCATAATAGGCAGATTCAAGGAGAATTTTGGCATTATGAAGAGTAATTTTGGCATTATGCCACCGATCGGAGATAGTGGTGATGGGAGGCGGTGAGAAAAGCAACCACATTTTTTTTAAATTTTTGATGAATTTTTACTATTTTTTATTATTTAAAAGAAAGTTCAAAAAACATTTTCTTTTGAATTTTTAGTTTATAAATATTTTATTATTTTTTTATTATTTTTTAAAAGATTTTTTAATATTTTATACATTTTTTATTATTGTTTAAGATTTTATTATCATTAAAACTATTCATTATGAATCAATACCCTTAGGGGTATTTAGTGTAGAAATCAATGCTTATTCCACTTAAAATGTAGTAGTTATATTTGTGCATTTTAGGGAATTTTAGTCCTGCATAGAGCATTTTCTAAAAGAAAAAAATATAAAATATTTTACAAAAGATTTAAAACAAGAAATGATATCGCTAAAAAAAATAAACAAGAAATGATATATGTATAGGACTAAATACGTATTTAAAAATATCATTAAATTGTTCATTTGGACGGGTGGATGCGTGGATGGTGAGTAAAGGTAATGGCAACCAATCAACTATGAAAGCATTTACAGTGCTAAAACGTTAATGGTGTATACGTGACAGCCAATTAAATAACAATAAATAGAATATCATTCTCCTTATTTGAATGATCTTATAATATTTTGGTAAGTTTTTCTTCACAATGTCAAGCACAATGTCTAGATGTAGACATTATAGTTGACATTGTAGGGAAAAACTTACCAAAAACACATAGACCGTGAAAAGGAGAAAGAAATGTCATAAAATCAATATTTTGTGTCTATCTCTCTAATGGCACATGTGCATCGTGCACATTGTGCATTGGAGATGCCCTAAGAAGGCGTCATTTTACAAAGAACTGCAAAAATTTAAAATGTCAAGAATGAGATTCGAACCCATGCCCTTTTGGACCAGTACCTGAAAGGCTGAAACTGGCACCTTAGACCAACTCACTAACTCAGTCATCTTAACTAATGTTTAGCAACTGACTCTAAATTTGTTTATAACAATGGTTTGACTATGGCTAATATGTTACCATTGAGCATTGACCGATGACATGAGCATTGACCAAAGAGCAGACTCAAGGGTACTTACTCCTACAATTGAATCCTTCCAGAAATGAAATATGCTTTATTGAAATAATAATAACATATATGTAACAAATATATTTAATATCCACTCTCGAGAGGGATCACATGTACCGCATGCTCTGGTAAATGTTTCTCGACATTTGCCCCTATGATTTTGATGATTTTCTTTCCGGGTTTAAACAAAAAGTACACTGTATGTGTTAATAAGCAAATACAAAATATAGTTAAATGAAAAATGAATTCACTGCAAGAAATGGAATCAAAGATGTCTATCACACATATGCCATTACTGTCACTCAAACAATTAACATATTGCTCAAAAATAACCGAGCCTTTCCTAATATACATTGCCCCCTGGCACACATACTTGGGAGTACCATATGCACATTTTGTCGGTGCCATTGTATTATTTACGAGAGGGCAGGAGAAGTATATATATTCCTCATAATTCAATATGTACATTTTCAAATCAATCTAAGGAATGTAAAGTTAAGATTACATTTCAGTCACACACACAACTGACAGAAAAGAGGGAAGAAGCTATGATCTTAATTTTTTTTATATAGTTATATACAATAACATTTAGCCATTGTTGCAAAGAAAATCTCCAAGCTAATACTCGTACAATGTTTTCTTTTTTCTAGATTGATTATTTCCATGCACAAGAGGCAACTAAGTCCCTATCCTTCCAACCAAGATAAAGGGTGTCATTTCTCACTTCAAGCCTATACTGGTTGGAATAGTTCCCTAATAGTTCCTTGATTGTCCGGTTCACTTGAGGATTCAAAGGGTATGGCTGAAAACCGGCCATCAGAAACCGTGACTTCCACTTCCCCATAACCTCATGCCTCTCCACCCTATCCGTCCCCTCACATGAGACCACATTCACAACCCCTTTCGCCAAACAATGCTGCTCCACGAGTATGCGGTTTTTGTGATCCCTCTGGAGAACGGCGTCAATGGACTCGAACACAGCTGTGTAGTAATCCAAGGTCTCAAGGAACCTGGGCAGGAAAGGGGCCGTATTGGTGTTCGATTCCTGCTCCACGAGGGTAACCACCTTCGGGTTCAAGCTCCTCACTTGCCTCAGCAATCGGTCCCGATGGTTCTGTGTGCTCACACTCTCATCGGGCACGCGGTGTAAAATGAACCCAAAGTTCACCGCTAGTGCTTCGCCGGGATGTATCCGAAGGTTCTCTAGATGGACCTCGTTTTCGTACATGTACGCGTGATGGAAATCGAACGGAACCTTGCAGGATGCAGCAAGATGGGATAGCTTAACCCCCACACCATCATCTGCTGAAGATGAAATCCCATCTATCCCGGTCATTCTAATGTGGGGTGGCCCTCCTGGACGTCTGGCAAAAGCTTGTATCAGGCTCACCCATTGGTTGCCTTGGCCGATTTGGAAGTCGATGATATGAACCTGAGCTTCACCCTTCATGGCGTCTGCAATGGAACCATTAGCGGACATGTGACCGAATTTAAAGTACGGGCAGACCTCAAACAAGATGTGGTTGAACATAACGGTATCGAAAAATCCCGGGTCTCGGAATCTCATGGCCGTGTAGATGGAACTCCCCGACGCGGCCAAACGCGCCACGAGTCCTTCTAGCATGTAGGCTCCGACCCTCTGGATTGAGTCACCCGTCACGGAAACCATTTTCCGTAGCTCGCCCATCAAGCATCCGGCGGTTGACCAGTCGTTCACTGAAACTGCTTTTGCGCATGCGATTAGAACCTGTTTTATGTCCCCGCCTGTTATTGCCTCCATCATTTGGGTCCAACTCACCGTTTCTGGAGGATCAATTTCGGGGTCTGGGTCTGGATCTTCTTCAGGTCCGAGCATAACATTTTCTAATTCCCTTAACTTCTCCTTCAAGTAATTGTTTGTTTCGTCGTCACTGGGGATGCAAGATGGAGTAGAAATAGAGACATTATAATTATTAGTCAACTCTGCAAAGCATGAATAGGACGACGACTCTGCCGCAGGTTGCTGCATCGCGTGTGGTGAACGATAGCACAATGTGTTCGGAGTGTTCATACTTACTTTGCAAGGAATCTAAGGGGCCGTTTGGAAGCAGCTGGTCCAGCTGTTTGGGTTGAAAAGCCTGAAAAGCCCTGAAGTAAAAGTGTTTACTTATGTAATGGCTGATGGTATGTAAAATTACCATTAAAGGTATTTACTTATTTACTAATTTATAGCTATCATATAAACACTTAGCAATCTAATCATATTAAAAGCTAACTGACATCAATCATATTCATTTTGCTTTGCCAATTCTTAGGCAAAACCGAGCATAAGAATTTTTTTCTTTCCTTTTCATAGCCTAATAGTTTTCAAGCTGCTGAAACCAAAAAGCGATCACAGTATGATTGATATTAACAGTGACAAACAAAGTTTTCAGGAATAAAATGCTCCCTCTTCGAGATCCTTCTTGATTTGCACGAAGAAATCGAGCACTTATGTAAAAGTTCTAAAGATTATGATGGATCTGCGAGAAGAATAAGAGGCCGAGCAGCTAACCTTTAATATGGAGAAGCTGAACGAGAACTCATCGATCTGGAAGGACCAAGCTAAGCAGCGGAGCAGATGAAAGTTGGAAGCTGTCGATCCAGAAGTGGTAGAAGCAGCAGATGTATTACGGGTATAGAGAAGGGAGGGTAAAGGGGTAGTTTACCTTTCCAACGGTAAATTAATACCTTTCAGCCGATAAAGTCAGGGTATTGTTACTTTTTGGCTGAGCAGAAATATCAGTCCAAACAGCCCAATTGGCTAGTGTTTGGCACTTTTTTTTTTTTTATCTTTTAAGGCTTATCAGCCCATTTTATGGGCTCCAAACAGCCCCTAAATGTGTAGCCGACTGAAGGAAGATTCGCTTTCAAATTGAACATCATCTACAAGCATGAGATAAACAAAAGTTAATCAGCTCCTTCGTGTATATGCACACATAAAATTATTATATACTCCCATGAAGCACCTATTCTTTCACTGCTCAGTGGTGAAGAGAGTGTGGCATTACTTCTTGGGGATTTTCGGTATATATCAACCACCTGGAATTGATTATAGCCAAAGTTGTTACTGGCGAACAGGGGTAGGGAATACTAATCTGATAGACATATTCAAGATAAATCTCCCGGGAATCATATGTTGGATTATTTGGAAAAATTATGCAGGCCAAATTTGGGGAAATGGAGGAGGGAGTGTCTACTGCTCAAGTATTATTACTCAGGTTAAACTGTATACCAGGGATTGGGTTTTTAGTCTTAACACCTCTAAAATCCGAAGTATTGGGGAGATCCTCTTTGCAGAAGAGCTGGTACCAAGGAACTTCAAAATCAGGGGATTTAAAATTCAAAGTATTAGATGGTACAAACCGCTTAAAAGACTGAAGTTAAATGTAGATGCGAGTTACAAACCTGAGAAATCCACCGGAGGAGCGATAATGCGCGACCACGACGGAGCCTTGATAGTTGCTATAAACTTCCCGTTGGATGCCACCTCTCCGGTTGATGCTGAGCTTCAGGCGCTGGTTATCGCAGTAAGATGGATGGTTGGGCAAGGATATGAAGGCTTTCAGATTGAAACCGATTCAGTCTTAGCGTTGGAATACATTTCAGGTAGGATGGAAAAGAGGTGGTCGGTTGCCATTAAGGAAATATCTCGATTAGGAAACAGCTGGTTTTTGGACATGTGAAAAGGGAAGGAAATTGCTATGTTTAAAAAACCGACCCGACCCAGCCGGGTTGACCCGGAACCCGGTGACCCGGACAAAAATCCGGTTTGGTTTCTTCAAAACCCGAAAATGGTCAAAAACCGGAAAAACCCGGCTGACCCGAAAAAATCCGATCCAGACCCGACCCAAGAGACCCGAAAAACCCAGGAAAACCTGGTTTTCGGTCTTTTCCAAAAAAAAAGTAATTTCTTTTTTAATTTTAATGCATTTTTTAAACCAATAAAATTGCAATTTCAATTCCCTAAAAAGAAAAATTATGTAATACATTTATATATTTATTTAAGAATGAAAATCATGCCAAATTATAATATAAATGTACAATACAAATAAAAATATATAATGAGAGTGTATATAATTATATGTTTATTATTATTATATAGACGTATAATCGTTGACCGGTTTTCCGGATTTGACCGGGTTGACCCTCCGGGTCCGGATTGACCCGTGACCCAGTCACATGACCGGGTCGCTCACCGGTCCGGTTTTTACAACATAGGGAAATTGGGTTGCGCATCACTTGGCCCAAATTAAAGTGGATCGGCTAATATCTTATTCTAGCATTAATCAGCTTCCTATTTTTGTTAAAAGAGCCTATTGGATGGATTATTTTGGCATTCCCTCTTTTAGATTTTAATTGTTGTTTCTCTTGGAGGGGTTTTGGCCTAGTCCCCCTCTCCTTGTTGTACTCTTTCAATATTTCAATAAAACCTGGCAACTGTCACCCGGCATTTGCCCCACTGATTTTGGTGGTTTGCCTTCTGGGGTAAAAAAAAAATGTAAGTGAAATTACTTTTATGCACGAGGAAATTACTTCAAATACGACTAAAATAATGACAAAAACTCAGAAGATGACTTGTATGTTTTTTATTTCAAAATAGGATCATATTAGTCCTATTGGAAACATACCTATTTCTTCATTTCATTCTTACCCCTTCGTGAGTAAAACATAATCAAAAGTCATAATAAAATGTTTAATTAATAATAAATTCGAATAAATTTCAAAAATTCATAGAAAAATAATAAAAAATGAAAGAAATTTTTTTTAAATAAAAAATCAAAAAAAAATTAATTTTTTTTTGAAAATTAATAAAAAATAGCAAAAATCCATAAACAAAAATTTAAAAAATATGGATGCCTCTCCCACCGCCTATACTACCTCCCTGCACCACCAGCTCCGATCGGTGTAAAAAATGCCATCTTTTTTTAAATTCCAAACAAATGACATATTTCTCTATGAGAATGCCAACATTTTCATTTTGCCAACTTGAATCCTTTTGACTTTTGTCAAAAATATGGCATTCGTAATTTTTTTGGAATCCCCCCCCCCCCCCCCCGGTGACAGGAGGTGGTGGTGCCGCTTCCCTGCACCACCACCTCCAACCGTTAAAAAAAATGTCACGTTTCCAAAAAAACTGCCATTTTTTTCTGAAAATGCCAAAAACTTGGCATATTTCTCTTTGAGAATGCCAGCATTTTTATTCTCCATCTTAAATCATTCTGACTTATGTCAAAAATATGGAATTCATAATAAATTTGGCATTTTTTCCCAAATGACTGGAGGTGGTGGTGCTGGGGCGGCAGAGGCAGCGGTGACAAAAAAAATTGAATTATTTATTTATTTATTTATTTAAAAAAACAATTTTTTTAATTTATTATTATTTAAAATATTTTATTAATTTTTTGGTATATTTTATGAATTTTTATTATTTTTTATTATTTTGTTATGAATTAAAACATTCCAATAGGTATAAGGGTATATTTGTCTAAGACACACATAATTAGTCCTATGGAAACATAGTTTATTTTTTTGTCCTATTTGTGCAAAGTGAGTTACTTTTAGTCCTATTTTGATAATTAACTCTTGATGTAATTAACTTAGGAAAAAATAATTAAAATACCATAAACTTCGAATAAAAATTTTAAAGAACCACATGTGACTCTCTTATGAAGTCACATGGGTTATTGTGGCATCATCTAAACCACTTATTTTTTTAAGTGGAGACCTCCACTAAAAACTTGAATGATTGGGATGATGACATAATGCTCATGTAACTCTATAAGAGAGTCACATGTGGTTCCTTAAAACTACTCAAATTTGAAGGAGGGTGAGATGAACACCCCAAACTTGCATATGTAATTGAAATACCTCAAACTGTATATAAAAAGTTATTTTAGCACTATAGGCAAATATTATTTCTTTCAAAAATGTAAATTTATGCGATTAATTACATAATTTAAAAAAAAATAGATTACATGAAGACACAATTAATATTCTAAACTTTCATTGCAAAATAAATAATGTTATCTCCAATCTATATATATAATTACAACACTTTTAATTTGTTAATTTAAATTATGCAATTAACCCCATAAATTTACATTTTTGCAAGAAATAATACATCAAAATGGTGCAAAAATAAATTTGTATATAAAGTTTGGGTATTTAAATTACGTGTGCAAGTTTGGGATGTTTACTCCACACCCCTTCAAGGTTTGGGGTATTTTTTCTATTTTTCCTTTAACTTAAAACACTTTCTCTAATTAAAACTTGATGTAAGCCTTCAATTATTTTGAGAAACATTTTAAAAAGCTCCCCTTTGAATGAGAAACCTTTGAAACAATACAAAAATGCATAAGAATTCTTCATATTTGACTTTGCGGGGATGTGATTTTGTACCAAATATTTTATAAACATTTAAATTGCATTACATTATCAAAATCGTAAAAAAATTTATTGTTACATTTGAAAACAAGCTGAAAATGAAGCACAAGCACTCATTTGTAGGGATCTTCCACCTTCTTTCTTGGAAGTTCCAAAGAGGCATCAATCACTTTCATGGAAGGAGGTTTCCAACATATAAACATGCGAGAAGATTTTTTGGAGATAGCTAGAAAACTCCCTAGTCATGTGAATGGAAGCTTGGACGCAACTTCCTCTTGTCTCCAAAATAGTCCTATAAATAGAGTGTTTCATGTTGTTCACTATCATCAGTTTTCTAAAGTGAGAAAAGTGTGTGAAGAGTGAAATACACTTAGAGTAGAAGTGTATTAGTGAACATTGGGTTTTTTATATAGTTCAGTGTGAGAGTTTGTTTCTCCTGTTGTAATTATGTTCTTGATATTGAATAGAAGAATTTTTCAATCCCAAGAAGTGGTATCAGAGCGAGGTTCAGTTTTCACACACTTTTTTCTCATTTTAAGAAAAATTTCTACATGTTAAAAGTCGTGATTTTTTACGTTGCTCGGAATCACGATCTGATCATACCATCAGGTTCGGCTCGACGAGAGGTACATTCTGGTATTTTCCAGCAACCGAGCGGCCACCGGATGGAGGAAGACAACGACAAGTCAGCCGCCATATCATCACGAGCTCAGCGCCACGTCAGTGTAACGTCAGGCTGAGTCGGGTGTCGCGTCATCCGTTCTGGCCACCAGTTCCATGCCATGTCATCCGACACATGGCGCCACGTCATCACCAGCGCAGAGCCAGCCACCGCCACGTCGTTTGCCTGCGTCTCTGCACATTGGGCTACTGCCTGGACCGGTTCGTACTTATGTAGACCGGTTCACCCCTTTCCAGACCGGTTTTGGACGAGGTAAGGCCGGTTCCTACCATTTTCGACCATTCTGGGTTCAAAGGTGAGCTCCGTTTGTCCAAATTCGGCTTCAAAAATAAGGTATGAGATATATTGAACGTTTATTATGGATAAATCATCATCGAACACCGTGATTGCGCTCACTTCCACAAACTACAATATGTGGAAGCCTCGGATGGAGGATTTTCTAAATTTGTGGGATTTAGCCCATCCTCCTTTTAATAATGGCGCCAAATCGAATAAAAAGACGAATGAAGAATGGATAAAAATGAATCCAAAAAATGTCACACAAATTTGACAGTGGATCAAAGTGTGTTCCACCATGTCGCTCAAGAACAAAATGCTTACACACTATGGGAGAAGCTTGGTAGCATGTATCAAGGAAAAACCGCCTGAAATAAGACGTTACTAAAGAGGCGATTAATAAACCACAAGCTATGTGGGTGGTATTTCGGTTTCAAAACACACAAGTCAGTGTCAGGTTCTTGTGAACCAATTGAGCACCACCAGATGGGTTCTCAAAGATGAAGAACAAGTGATACTACTCTTGAGCTCTCTACCTGACAGCTGGGAAACTCTTGTTGTCACTCTAAGTAATTCTGCTTCCAATGGCAAAATGACTATGTAGATGGTCACAGATGCCCGAATGAACAAAGAAGCCCGAAGAAAAGAAGTCGGGACGAAACAATCATATGCCCTCGTATCAGAAACTAACAGACGAGGAGGAGGCAGAAATGAAGAAAGAAGACGAGGCAGAGGCCAAGGTCAAAATAGAGGAAACTCTCAAGTTTGTGGCAGATCACTAGAGAGAGGTATGTCCTTTGAAAACAATGCTTGGTTTGAAAGATATTTCAATTACTGTGGTAACTATGGGCATAAAAAGCGATTGTAGAAAGTTTCTACGAGAGCAGCCACAGACGAGTCAAAATACTAGCCAAGAAGACGGTCCTACTATGGTTAGTTTGTCATCAACCGTGTTACTTGTTGCACATGGTGAACAATAATGTTTACACTTAGGTACTCATGATGTTGAGTGGGTGGTTGATACAGCCGCATCAATTCAAGTTACTCCACACCACAACTTATTCACATCTTACAAGTCCTGAGACTTTGGAGCCGTGAAGATGGGAAACACCAGTTTCTCGAAGATTGTTGACATTGGTGATGTGCACATAACAACCAATGTCGGATGCGCACTTGTGGTGAAAGATGTTCGACACGTTCCAGATCTTAGATTGAATCTTATCTCAGGTGTAGCTCTGGATCATCAAGGTTATCATAACCAATTCAAAGAAGGTACGTGGAAGTTATCTAAACATTCCTTCATTGTTACAAGA